CACACATTTCAGGTCACTTTCACTGTTGGCTGGGTTTATTTTTGGACTCTATCAGTTAAAGTTACACAACAAGATATCAGGTATGGGATTACAGAGGTTTGTCATCTTTTGTTCAATGTCAGGTCAGGAACAATACATAAATATTGAGTATCTTGTTGTGCTTATCACCCAGTATGTGCAGGGAACACTGGTGTTATTTTTTGCTTTCCCACATTAGTTGGTTATTTTCATCAGTAGTCACCAGTTGTGTTTAAAGCCAGGGCGGTGGCTGCCTGTCGATCTGGAGGACACGCAGGCTTTGTTCAGGTCAATCACTCGATCCTCCTCAGGCGCTGTGTAACAATGTGAGGCATGCAACTCATTAGAAAGAGTGGTGGGAACACGGAGCGCACGTGCAGCCTGAGGAGTGAATCAGGTGTTGAGAGGTGGTGGATGAATGGTGAAGAAATACCTCCCATGTATTGGATTTATCAAGTGCAGATTGATTGAAGGGTCTTCTAGAACGGTGCTTTTAAGTGCAATTGGTACATCCTGCGTGGATCTCGACTATGACAAATAACCTGTGGGAAATCTCTGCAAGCTGGTTTGCAAATGTGTAACTCTAGACCAAGTGCACCTGTTCTTTAGAGGGGGACACTGGGGGTACTGTTGGCTTTTGTATTTGTATTCGTTTTTCTAGTGAAATGCACTCAAGCCTTCTCAATCACGATTTATTAACTATTGTTTTATCTTTAAATGTTACTTATTTAGCTGTAGTTTTTAAATACTTTAGATCCAAATGTTCAGGGTTTAAGTTTAAAGCAACATGGTGCTCTTTGTTACTAGTCATTGCGGTCTTAGTGAAGCTTTTAAAGCAAAACCACAGCAGAAGTGTTTTATCTTATTTCAAAAGTTATCTATAGTTACTTAAAAGCAGGCCTTAATATTACAAAATCCACTTATGAGATTCGACCCTGTGTTTCATGCAAAGGAAAAACCGAAATCAAACCAAGATCTACACCGACTGTCCTGTATGTATTCTTCCCAGTGCAGGATATGACTTTGAAGCTCTGCTGCATACATCCACAGAGCAATGTGCATTGAATCAAAATCAGATGAAACTCAATGTCAAGGCTTTCAAGGTCATGATGCTCCATTTACCATTGCTGCACCAATGCTAGCACTGTGCACACATACAGTACATGAGCACACACATGCGCTGTTAACTCAGTTTGACATTAGAACATCCCCGGTCCTCGGTTTGTGTCCAGGCCTGAAACCTTTTGCTCCTCTCCCCCAGTGTGTAGCTCATCCATCCACACTGCTCTGCCCCGTCACACCACTGCCTGCACAGCCCCTGTGTGCATTAGCAGGCCTATGCATGTGTGTACAGTACATGTGCAAAGAATATGTGTAGGAATACAGAGAAATCAATAACCAGTCAAGGGAAAAGGCTTACTATGAAAAAGAATGTATGTTCACGTTATGTTAGAGTGTCTAATCATCATGCGGGTCACATGTCTACCCCTCCTCCACCTTTACCATCCTGACTCCCCTGGAGTCTCGGTCACGTGCTCTGTGCTAACGTTCCCCCGAAGCTGTCACCCGCGACCAGCGAGCCAACGCAGAAATGTCTGATTTAATTCTCTCCACCACGCAGGAGCCTCCATCACTGATCCCATGGTCGCAGAGAAGGTTTTATCGTGCTGTAAACGCTGGCAGATTAATCTCAACCCAGATTGTTGAGCAGGGATGTTTCTCTGTGGGCTGGTCTGGGGTCAGCATCATGAGGTAGAAACCTGTCTATAAATAGTAGCAGCGACCTGCAGGCGGGAGATTCTGGCTCATCTGTCGTAGTGGGCAGGGTAAAGCTTTGTTTCGGACGAAGCAGAAAAGAGCATAGCAACAGGCTAGAATTAATCAGATTGGTCACTTTTTTTGTATTTTATTAGAATACATTTTTACGTTCAATTTGGGAATTTTTTCCCAGACATCCTTGTAGATTTTTTCAGAAAATTAATTGATTGGGATGGAAACTGGCAACAGAAAGGTAGAAGTGGAAATAGTGGAAATGTATGAGAAGTATTCAAAAACAACCAAACAAATGGCATATATTTGGACTAAGGATGTTGAATATCTCTAAGATGCTAATGCCTTGTAGAGGAGAACATGGGTACTCTGTACACCGTCTGGATGTCAATGGTTACTTTCTCATAACTCACAGTGGGGAGAATACATTTTTTCTCTTTTTCTCTTGCCTCTCAGGGCTATTCAGATCATTTTGGAGCTTTATTTTGCATACTAGCTGCATATATAGATGTATGTGTAGTTCTCATGGGTCTGGGACAGGGAGTGTAACTGAGACTGAGAGTTTCCCTGGGGGCCTGCAGGGCCAGCCCCCTGCTACTCTCCCAGGCTTTCACATCTCTGTTTTTGTGACTTCCATAAGTACAAAAAAAAAGTTTTTAGGAAATGAATTTGTTATTTTGGCCACCCTGGCGTACTGATTGTCTATGATTCCTCTCACAGTAGACACAAAGGATTGATTTGGATGGAATTGTACTGCAGATGCATGGGCGATGACAGAATTACCACATTAGAAAATGTCAGTATTTCAGATGACCATTAACCATCTGCCAGGAGAAATCTAGGCATGTCTGTCTACAGGGACTTGATAATGAATTCTCATCAGGGTCTCTGTGTGTGTGTGTGTGTGTGTGTGTGTGTGTGTGTGTGTGTGTGTGTGTGTGTGTGTGTGTGTGTGTGTGTGTGTGTGTGTGTGTGTGTGTGTGTGTGTGTGTGTGTGTGTGTGTGTGTGTGTGTGTGTGTGTGTGTGTGTGTGTGTGTGTGTGTGTGTGTGTGTGTGTGTGTGTGTGTGTGTGTGTGTGTGTGTGTGTGTGTGTGTGTGTGTGTGTGTGTGTGTGTGTGTGTGTGTGTGTGTGTGTGTGTGTGTGTGTGTGTGTGTGTGGGAGGGGCTCCATCAGCGTCTGTTAATGTCTCTCTACAGTAAGCCCACCATGTCAGCATCTGTCCACACACTCCTCCGATGCTTTGGCTTCTTTTCTCACATGGTCGTCCGTGTGCGGGGGCGTGTGTTTGTCTGTCTGTGTGTGTCTGTGTGTGTGAGTGTGTGTCTGTTTGTGACAGCGTTCCAGTGTTCTTGCTTAATCTCTCAGGATCAGAGATTGATGGCCAGCATCAGCCAGCTTGTCACAACACAGAATGCAACATGTCTCATGTTTTGGCAATATTTGCTGTATTACTCACGCTGTAGAAGGTCCATTTGAAAAGCAGGATTTTTTATATTTCTATAATATTTCTATATATATTTCATAACTGCAGATGCAAAATTTAGACTGAAAAATTATGATTATTTTATTTTACTAATAACATTTCTGTATACTATGCTAGTAAGTCTAGTTTTATGTTCAGAATGGATATTGATCATGTGTTATACAGTTTCCGACAGATATATTGTGTTCATGTGCATGACTTACTAAAGCAGCCATGTGTGAATTTATTTCAAGTACAGCACGGTTACTTTTTTTAACCCTGCTATATTCCAACGTTTTCCTGCTCATTACATGATTGCTAATCGCTTATTTGAAGATTAAGCCTTGTTTCAAACACATTTATCAGACTAACTTATCAGAGTCAGATTGAATGCATATATAGGACACATGTATGCAGAAGTGTTCATGATGGTCAGTATTTGTGAACTCCATATTGATTCCATTCAGGAACTAGGCCATCCGGGGGAAGCCAACAACGATCATCCCTCAATCGCATGTTCATTTTTTAATTTAGATTGCAAGGAGAGCATTCACAGCTCTACAATAAAAAAACAATTTGACCCATTTAAAATAGTGAAACCATGGAAAATCAATAGTTGGTGATCAATGTACGTTGTCTGTCAGGCTGCCCTACCAAAATCAATGCATGGGAAACACTGATAAACTTGGGGGTGCCTTTAACATGTTATGTAATGTCATTAATTGTGTGAAGTCTCGATCTGGTGTATATGTTTAAGCTTGTGTCTGATGATCAAAAAGCTTAGTTGAGCTTAGTGCTTTGTCATGATCTCATAAGAAAAAAATGAACGAAGGGTCGCTGATTCTACATTCGTACATGTTTTACATCAAGGCCCTCTGTACCGCATTATGTCTTCTTGTCAGTAGTAGATCGTGTCAGACTTCACAGACAATAGGGGTGTAAAATGGAAGAAAAGTCATACTTTTTCAGTGCAGTACTCTGATTTTTACATGCAAAGGAAATGCCAGGCTTTGGCAAACTCTCTCTTACGCAGCGTCCACACGGCAGCGTGCGTTGAAGCTTCAACGCTTCTTTCTGCCCATTCACTTTGAATGGGGTGACGTCACGCTTTGCCGAACTGCATTGTGGTTCTTTCGCTTCGCTTTGCTCGCGTTGCTCGCTTCAAAAGTTGAGCAATGTTCAACTTTTGAAGCTTCGACGGATGCGTCAGCCAATCAAATCATTCATTTCTCAAGGTCAGTGCTATTTATAGCGTGGAGTAAGAAAAGCAGTATGCCTCCATTAGCACCAGCCACCAGCCTGTACTCCAGCATCTGCTGCTCCACTTCCTTAGACATCTCCCCTGCCAGAGGCGTGGGTGGTGGAGCATTCACACCATTTAATGCTTACGCACAGTGATGCATCCTTTGTAAACCATGACTCAAACACAGTGTAATCTGGCAATTTGGCTTTTTTTATATTGCAATTGGGTGCCTTTTGTTGCCATGGTGAAAGTCGCTTGAAGTTATGATGCCGAGCTGTGTGTATCATCTTATCATGAGGCGCGTGTGTGGGGGGTGGGGGGGGTGGTCTTATGTAATAGCATTAATGAAATATAGATTTTACTTCAGTGCGGACAAATGCTCCTTACACAGGATCTCCTGTAAAGAGTTGGATACCAATATTAGGGAATGTGCTTATATTAATTATTAACTCTAAGTGATAACGCAAACTGTTCACACCTATTTTGTTTGTGTCTCTTTTTCCAGAGAGCTGATGAGGAGGCAGTGGTGGACCGTGGGGGCACGCGCTCCATGCTCAACACCAACTTTGAGAAGGAAGAACTCGAAGGTAACACCATAAGTGATCATTAATATTAACATTACACAATTAATTATACATCTTTGTGGAGAAGATAAAAGAAAATAGGCACGCGAGGGATTTCTGTATTGTAAGGGGACTCATAGAGTGCCCCTTCAATGAAACACATCGCTATAACACTTACAAAAAAGCTTTAGTGTGAGTATCTGTCGTCGTTTGGAGGTGTATTTTTATTTATGTAAATTGATAGGACGTTGATGTGAGTCCTGCAGAATCAAAGTGTGCGGGCTTTTGTCTCTTTGTGTGTTTGCATCAGCATTTCATCCGTCGTAAAAGAGACAGATTTCTACACCAACAGCATTCTGAATTGACCCAACGTGCTAAAAAAGGTTTTTTGAAAGGTACTTTGGGAAACAGGGAATCACAAAGAGAACAAATATAGGCAAGGTGAGCTTAGGAAAAGTGGGGACAATTACTTATTTATCACTAGAAAAAAACTCTAGATGATAAAGCAAGATGATTTATATATGTGTAACTTTGTATACGAGGGGAACATTTTATTTTTACCAATTAGATCACACATTTTTGTGTAAGTCAAGCGGTGGAAAGGAGGGAATAAAACATCTATTATCTAGAGATTTGGTTCCCCCGTCAGTATTCACTGTATTTTTGTTGCTAGGCAACGTCCTCATAGGAAGCCGGCAAAGCTGTCAGTCTTTGATTCTGACGGTGCCGGCGAGATGGGCTTTCATCTCAAGGACTCCTCATCCTCGAATGATTGTTTCCATAATGACTATCCCTCTGTCTGGTGCTGTGGGAACGCTGACTCTGCGTCAGCAGGAGAGCAGCTCCTCTGAAGTTCACACACTCAGACCCTTTCAGCCCCTTCAACACTCATTCTCATACACCCTTATATTCGGGATAAAAGTAAGAGGTAAGCAGGACATCAAGAACAAAAACAACTTCAAATTACTTTATTGAAAATAGAAAAGGAACATGAAATTGGGCGACATTTTCATCTGTTATTTTACACATACAGAATGTTGTTCATTTTCACTCAATACAACATTAACCGTCCTGATGCCCCAAATACTCGCTAGAGCAACAAATATGGATTAATCTGCTGCTAAAATGAGTCCTCAACAAATCAAACGGAACAAGCATAGCCCAGTAACTGTAACTATGAGGATTAATTTAGAGCAATGATTGTTATGCAACGTCAGAGCCGCGTATCTAGACCCAGTCGTGTGAGGAGAAAGCCCAGCCAATCAGAACGGATGTATTCTGTGGCCCTGAAAGCAGTGTATTCATGAATACACACACAAAGACTTAAAGACATGGAATAGCAGCGCGTCACACACCGCTGCATGAATGCAAGGCTTGACTGACGGAAAAAAGAGAAAACATTGTGTGACATCAGCAGTAGTTCAGGCCTGGAGGAGGCGAGCTATTTATAAGTCATGGCTCATGAGCTCTAGTGCTCCGTTTTCCTCACATACCTGCTACTTCCTGTCTGCTGGAATCTGCTTTACGGTGAAACTTGCTTCATGTGCAAAGTCAGTTTTACCTCTACTTCCGACATACATCATTTACACACTGCTAACAGCAATCTGCTCTGCCTGAATGCGTCTCCAGTAGACAGAGTAAAATACACTTTCAAACTGCAAATACATTTTGACCTCACTTAACCTCTGTCCTGGAATCCTACTGATGAAAGACGAGTGAGTCTCCTTTCAATCGCTGTGATGCCAGAGTGCTCTCAGGTGATTCACGTTATGTCTGTGCATTCATCTGATTACTGCCCTATGATGGGATTTGTCTCCAAGAACAGTTTAAGGAATTCATGTGGGATTTTACTCCCTCATAATAAATGAAAATATACAAAATAAGTCTCACAATAATAAACAGAATAAGCTCATTTATTTCTAAAACCTGCACAAGCCGCACACCCTCCACAAATGGCTTTGGATTTACATTTCAGAGGGTTCCCTAATGTTTGTGTAAATAAGATTATGTTCAAGGGATTTGGTTTAGTTTTAGAAGTGAACAGGACACCATAACGTCAGAGTTTTTCTTTTACCAAAACAAAATAAAAAAGCAATATAAGTGTGTCTTAGTAATGTAAAACTCAAACTAATTGAGGGGAACATGTCCCCCGTCACATGTGAATATTAAACCTTTCATTATATTACAGAATAATAAATCAGAGAATATTTTTATCACTCGATGTAACATGATTGAGCTGCCTGGACTTTAGCAGTGAAGATGGATTAAAAAGAGATCACAGTTAATTATAGACTTCCTTGTCATTTTGGTTTCTTCCTTGTAAAATGATGGTAAAGCAGGGAGCTAATTAATAATCCTCTGATGTAGCTGTCAAGCATCAAACTGCCCTTGGTGTCACATTACGCCAGGGGCAGAGGCATCTCATATGGTGCAGGAGAACGAGGCGTTCAATAGTCCTGTCTGTGTCCGGCCACTGAGACGAGGGCCGGCGGGAACAAGCAGCAGCGAGGCAGCTTGACCGCAATAAAGGAGGAGGAAGTCAGCTCGCATTATCTATGTGTGCACGTACACATACACGCACAGAGAAAGGCCCTTGTGCTCACACGGTACAATATCCTTCCACAGTCCCAGTCTCATTATCTGCTCTGTATTGATTTAAAATACAAATCTGTAAAAGTCCTCAAATTACAAGATCCATTTCAGACTCCTTAAAGAGGACAATGGTTCTATTCAAGCACAGGAGGGCCTGGAGAAAGCAGCTTGCTTGCTTCGCCGTGCTACTACCTTTTGCTGAGTTTCCCAACATGTATTACAATGCCTACATTTTGGTTAGCTCCGAGGTACTGAGTAACCGCATTCCGTCTGTGACCCATTTTGTTCTGTCACCCGCATGGCTTCATACCATTTACAAATGACCTCATTCATCCGGTTCCCTATTAGCAATGGGTTTGAATCTGAAATATTGCCAATTTTGCAAAAGATCTGCCCTCGTCTTGTTGGTCAACCCTCCTCTCACAAAGTCTTGAGTAAAATCTGACTCTTGCTACTCTGGTGTTGCTGATTCAAGGTGAAAATGCAACCCCCCCCCCCCATTGTTAGCTACTTCACTGATTCTGTATGGGTCTTAAAAAACGTCAAAGAATGAATCCATGACATTGTAAAAAGACGGGAAACATCAAACTAGTCTTGAGTTTGAAGGACAGAGCGTAGAGTCTCACATTGTCTGGTGCATGTTTCTCCAGGTCACCGCACTCTCTACATCGGGGTTCACGTTCCTCTGGGCAGGAGGTCGCACCGACGTCACCGTCACCATGGACACAGACACAGGAAGAGGTCCAAGGAGAGGGACTCTACAACTGATGATGGAAGAGAATCTCCGTCTCACAGTAGGTCTTAAAATGGACTAAAGTAAACTCTGAACAAGTTCCACCAATGCACATCATGTTCTATTTTTCTGTTTCATATCTGTCCTGTCGCCTTCGCCGCTCCTTTATCTGTCTCCACACACTTTCCCATTTACTATAGCAGACACACCAGCTCAGAGGGTGCAGTTCCTGTTGGGGACAGAGGATGCCGATGAGGAACACATTCCTCATGCCCTGTTTACGGAGCTAGACGAAATCTGCCTCAGGGAGGGTGAGGACGCAGAATGGAAAGAGACAGCCAGGTACACCACTGCAGTCGGCCCCATGGGCTACAGCTGGCCAGATGTGCCAATTCTCCTCTGTTGCACCTGGGAGTTTGATCGTGTTTATTTCTGACTGCAACTTTTTTCACCAAGCTGTTGTTATATAACCATTCCTCCCAGGATGTCCAAACTTAATTTCAAAGCATACACTGTGTCATTTATATATCAGATAGGAGGACACATTCTCTACAATGTCAATCAAATTGCTCATTATAGTGTTTGGAACTGATACTTTTTGTTTTACTTCTATCAAATATAAACATATGATTTATTTATGTGTGATGTGTGCAGGTGGCTCAAGTTTGAGGAGGATGTTGAGGACGGTGGTGAGCGGTGGAGTAAACCCTACGTAGCCACTCTGTCTCTTCACAGCCTTTTTGAGCTTCGTAGCTGCATCATGAACGGCACCGTGATGCTGGACATGAGGGCCAACTCGCTGGAGGAGATCGCAGGTGAACACTTGCAATAATTGAAAATGTCCCATGGTATTGTGTAGCTCAGTGGTTAAAACTATAAACTGCCTTATCTGTTACTATCAACACTTTCTACTTACTTTTGGCAGCAGAGCATTATAACGAGTAAACAGAAGTTCACAAAGACAGTGTTTTCATTTTTGAGGGCAGCAAAGTGTGTTAATCTGATTGTGGGAAAAACTGTGCTGCTGAATAGATCTGGTGAACATAGCCTTGTTTGTGACGATGTTATCAGTCTGAGTGGGTTTTAGTGGGAATAATCAGCTTAGTAGGTACACACTTCATTAGACTTTGTGAATTTGAAATGAACTGTTTAAAGATTAATGTGGAAACCTACATGTATACCTTTCAGATATGGTTCTGGATCAGCACGAGCTGTCAGGTCCTGTAGGTCCGGAAGCCAGGAGGAGGATCCGCGAGGCTCTGCTCAAACAGCACCACCACCAAAACCACAAGAAACTGGCCAACCGCATACCCATCGTACGCTCCTTCGCTGATATCGGCAAGAAGCAATCTGAGCCACATTCCATGGACAAGAATGGTGAGCACACATACACACACACTGCAGTCTTTTCATCACCCTGTTATATTCTCAGCTTTTCCCAACATATATGTTGATGTATGTAAAAATATACAGTATTTCTGTATGCATAATGTTGTAATCCTTTCCATGCTTTTTCCAATGTTTGTCCATTTGTGACTTTTATTGCTGTTTGATCTCATTTTCTCCTCTTGTGTGTTTCTCCATGTGTGTGTGTGTGTGTGTGTGTGTGTGTGTGTGTTGTCCTCTGCTGTATTTGCATGTGTGTGCCCGTGTGTCATTCATTCAAGCAGTGAATGGCCTCTATTATGAAACGGTAACATCTCCCAATCGTATGCTTGAATTCCCCGATATTACTCCACCAAGAAAGGCCTTTTCCTGTTTGGCACGGCCAGGGTGTGTGTGTTGCGTGTCATGTCTGTCCTCCCCTCCATCACGTTTGAGCTCCTCCAGCAGCCACGGCAACATGACCCCAGACACGCCCTTTGGCAATCCCAACACCAAACGCCTTAGTGTTCTTCAGGCAGTTGCACAAGGCTACTGTCCCATCACACATGAAGACACAGAGCAGGAAATCTGCACAGGCAACCAGAGCTCATGCTTTTACACTAAAGCTTAGTTAGCTATACTACCAATAGAATAAACAGGAACACATTAAAGTGGAGAGCATCATCATGAGAGGTTAGAAATGGGTATGCAGTGAAGAAAAGAGAGGAAACATGGTCCTTCAATTCTATTTTTGGAACTTAAAAGTGAAGCAATAAGAATAAAAGCACAGAAATGCACACAGTTTTTTGTTCTTCCAAAGAAAAAAGGGGCATGTGCAGCGTGCCAGTTTTCATGATAATGCTCTCCACTTCTTGTCATTGTGAATGTCAGTGTGTTTAATTACTAAAACCATAAGAGATGTGTGACTCACGCTCTACACTCATAACAGTGACTAATTACTAATAGTGTTAGCTCCTTGCTTAAAATCCATGTTGTGACTTTAAAAACAAGAAATAGCTTATAACCTTTATTTTGTTGCCTTTGGGATTGACATTTAAAGAAACAGTTAACAGTGTGTGGAAATATGTTTATTCACTTTCTTGCAAATAGTTTGTCATACTATGTCATCCCTATTTTTTGTCCACACCCAGCAATCCAGGTTAGTTAAGCTAACCAGCTGCTGGCTTTACTGTAGTCTCATTATAAAACCAACAGCTATGAAAGTTGTATCAATCTTCCCAACTAAATCTCTGTAGGAAAGTGTTTTTAGAATATGCCTTGTTGCACAATTCCTTTAGTGGCAGTAGCATCACTCCTAGCTTTCACAGGTGACGGTTTGAGCAAACCACATGTTTCACAAGTGCTGTGATTTGCTCAAACAGCTGTAACTGGTGCATTCACTTCACACTAAGGACTTGTTTTAAAGGAGCAATCTTTGACTTTTTAAATAAAACCTTTTTGTTGATACACACATTCAAAATTGGAAGTTAAAGATTGTACCTTATTTAGTTTAGTAACCTTGAAAGATAAGCCTAAGGTTTAGCTATAATCACTATCCACTGCGCCAGTGAGCACTCATCAGATTCATATTAAGCTAACTCACCAGGTACACTCTGAAACCATGTACAATATTATCTTTTGTCACTGGGGCTGAACCTTTTCATCAATCAAGGTCCAGCTCCCAAAACAAAAGGGTCCACTGTTGTATCATATTGTTCAGAGAATGTAACTGTACCTCACTCACTGGGGACCTGTGTGGGAAAGAAGTATTTTGATAGGCTGTACCTCCGTGAAAATTGACATGATGTTGCTTTGGTGATCTTCCTCACAGGCCAAACAGTCTCACCTCAGTCCCAGTCGACTAACAATGATGGCAAACAGGACGTGAGCAGAGAAAACAGTGCTGTGGACTTCAGCAAGGTGAGCTCCCAGACCCACCGCTGATCCTGCTGTTTATCTACGGGCACTGATATCTGAGCACATAACTAGTCCTGTATATTTAACCGATTGGGTTACAGGTGAAAGGGTCACCGTGAGCCTCTCACCCAGGGAAAATAAGAGGAATTTAACAGGAGTAAAGCTTGTTTTCTTTTGTTGTTTGGCGTCAAATCCAGGCTGTATTTTGGAATTCTATTCAGCACAAAATATTGGTCTTAAGATACTATTATTGTTTTCTTTCCGTCTCACAGATTGACCTCCACTTCATGAAGAAGATCCCTCCCGGTGCTGAGGCGTCTAACGTCCTGGTGGGGGAGCTGGAATTCTTAGAGCGCCCTGTGGTGGCCTTTGTCCGCCTGTCCCCTGCTGTGCTGCTCAACGGCCTGGCTGAGGTTCCCATCACTACAAGGTTTTACGCTTACTGATGGGAAAAGCACTTCTCTCTGTATTCTGTATCGCTTCTGGATAGATGAGCTGATAATCCCCTGAATGCTTCCTCAGAAAAGGATTTGACTTTTACTCAAACCTGTTGTCCTTTGTGTTGCACAGGTTTCTTTTCATCCTGCTAGGCCCTTTGGGAAAAGGTCCACAGTATCATGAAATTGGCCGGTCTATTGCTACACTCATGACTGATGAGGTGAGGCATAAGTACAACACTTTTTAATAAAACCATGTAAACATATGTACAATAACGACAATTCAACTTACTTGAGCCTTTAGAGCTGAGGAGACACTTGTCTTGGTGCCCCATAAACATTTAAATATGCTCTACTAAATGGACAGCATTTTTAGTATTAGTGATTTTGGATCCCTGCCAAGCTGTCTTGTAAAATAGTTTTTTTCACTATCAAATAAATTAATCCGTACACATAAATTAATAGTTTAATTTTGTAACGTTATAAATGGCATTACGGCAGTTTGTGTAGTGGAGAAACAGTCCTATGAATCAAAAGTCCCCTTACCTGCTCTAGTGACCTGATCTTGGACCTCTGTTAAAAGCAGGGGAATCCTTAAGGGATCAGCAGAGTGTGGCATGCAAACAGCGACAGGATTTCCCACAGTGCAGCTATGAGCTACACTTACTGACCATCATACGAGCCAGATGTTGCTATTTTTTCTTCCTTTTACAACCGTCCTGTGCGATGTATGAAAATAGACGTGTATCCAAATCAGCCTACCTCATACAATGCAGTATATTCTGAATATTGCATGTTGTTTTGTTGTGGAGATATGGACTTTCTGTAAATATACTGAAGAAATTAACTCCCTCCACAGATTTTCCATGATGTTGCTTACAAGGCCAAAGACAGGAATGACCTGGTGGCAGGCATCGATGAGTTTCTGGACCAGGTGACAGTGTTACCTCCTGGAGAGTGGGACCCCTCCATCAGAATAGAACCTCCCAAAAACGTGCCCTCTCAGGTAAACCAATGACAGTACATAACAAACCATTTGTTGTACACATTTATGGACGTAACATAAGGTAAATAGGATGAATGTTTCCAAATTGAAGGAATCATCTGCAGCAAAACAATTAGAGTTATATACCACTGTTATGTCATAATGTGCCTGAGTCCCCTTTGCGACGCACTGCCTTCTGAGAACTATTTAAACATCTGCGTTCACCCTATTACCTACTGCGTTGTACTCTGTGCTTTGATGCCGCTCCCCAGGGTTCTGCTCTCAATCCTCTCAAAGAAACACAATTTTCCTACATTTGTTATTTTTACCGACTTTGAAAATTCGCCATCTTGTTTGGAAGAGCTACCTAACAGAAAGCTGCTTTGGGTGATTAAAAAGTAGTTTTTCTTTTCCTCTCTGTGCAATTCGATTGTTGTGCTGATGAACTCTGTATCAGAAACAGCTACATTTATGAATAAGAGATCATCTGGTGGCAACAAATGTAAGACTATTATTGTTCCTATGATCCAGTCACAGACAGTTGAATGACAGTGATCTTAACCATGCAGGAAAAGCGAAAGATTCCCCCTCTTCCCAACGGAGTGACAGATCTTGGAGAGTCGGAGGACCACGGAGGACACGGTGGGCCTGAGCTGCAGCGCACTGGGAGGTAAGTGTTAGATAGAGACATTGTGATTTGACAGCCTCGAGCTCTTGAAGCTCCTCTTCCTCCCCGTCTTCCTGTCGCCTGATAGCTGCCTCCCTGTCCCCAAACTATAAATATAGCTCTCTTAGAGGCAGACTACTCTACTGGTGCATTATCATTCCTCATGCTATAATGCAACAAAGACCTGTTTAAGATTTAAATAAAGGTTTTACAGATGAAAAAACATCATGTTGTCATTACCTAGAAATCACCTAATGACAGGCAGGAGATTTTTGACCTTCAACTTGGATGAATAAAATGACGTGTGAGACGATAAGTGTATATCTTTGTAGTTTTAATAGCACATGAGTGAGTGATGTGCTGCTGAGCTGTGGTACGGTGCATTACAGGCTCTTACACCGGCTAACATTGTCCGGAAGCTCATTCTCGGCTATCAAACCCCACCAAATCCCTCCCGGGACATTGCTCTACTGCCTCAGACTGGAACAAGCAAACTGTCCCACCCACTGTTTCCATGGCAACCACCTCCTGCTTCTTAACACGGTCCCGGCTCGCTGCAGCACGAGAGCCTACTCACTGTGGTTGAGAGTCTTTTAAAGATAGATGCATGAGTCAGAGGTTATCAGCATTGTAAATGTAGGTCAGAGGGGGCCTGGTACACCAAATAGAAGGTCCTATTATATCTTTACACAGTTCATTTCCAAAAGAAGCAATACAAGCAGATGACCTCCTTATTCCAAAACCCCCAAAATAGTCAGAAAAATGTCCCATTGCAGCAAAAACACTATGTTTTACGAGCGGTTATTTCATGATTTCCCTGTTCCACCACAGGCTTTTTGGCGGGTTGTTCTTGGACATTAAACGGAAGGCCCCTCACTACTTTTCCGACTTCAAAGATGCCATCAGCCTGCAGTGTCTGGCCTCCTTCCTCTTTCTCTACTGCGCCTGCATGTCACCCGTCATCACCTTTGGAGGACTCCTGGGGGAGGCCACAGAGGGACGGGTGGTAAGAAACAACACCTTCATTGCTTATTTTTCTCTTAGAACTTGAACCCTTTCACAGTTTGTTTTCACATTCTTGAAAATAATTGTAACATTTTGTTCACCTAAAAAAGTCCTGTTAATCATACTTATGGTTAAAAAAAACAGAATAGTTCCATTATTTAATTAACAAATTGAGCGTTAAACACAAAGACAATGATAGTTGCATTTTAAATCCAGATATGAACTGATACTCTCCTACAACTCACTCATACAGTATATCTCTGAGTGATGTGTTTATCACACAAGTTGACAATGCCATTCTAGCGTTAACATTTTGCTCAAAGCTCCGCGCTCTTAAAGCACTATGTTTTTCTCCGTGAAGTAACAATGTAAAGCAGTTGAATCAGTCTATTATTTCCTGTTTTCCCAGAGTGCTATTGAGTCCCTGTTTGGGGCGTCCATGACTGGAATCGCCTACTCTATTTTCGCGGGGCAGCCGCTCACCATCCTGGGCAGCACTGGGCCTGTGCTTGTCTTTGAGAAAATCCTCTTCAAGTTCTGCGCGTATGTCATCTTCATTTTCCCTTTTCAGTGCAAATTGTGTTTGTGTAAAAGTAGAATCCTTCTGTGTTTGCTTTCTACTTGAGTTAAGATGCCATATCTAATAGCTTGTGCCTTCACTCACTGTGTGTTTCTGTCCGTCTTTCTCAGTGAGTATGGCCTCTCCTACCTCTCCCTGAGGGCCTGTATTGGCCTGTGGACAGCCTTCTTCTGTCTGCTGCTGGTGGCCACGGATGCCAGCTCGCTTGTCTGCTACATCACACGCTTCACTGAGGAAGCTTTCGCTGCGCTGATCTGCATCATCTTCATCTACGAGGCTCTGGAGAAGCTGCTCCACCTGGGGACGCATTACCCCATCAATAAACACAACAACCTGCAGACTCTCACTCAGTACTCGTAAGTTCTGTTTTGAAATCCACAAGTGCTGCTTTTCTTGATGGTGCAGATCATTTGGAAAATTATCAACAAAGTATTTATTATCCAGTCTAACCCCTTGAAGCTGGAATGATGCTGTCATCGTTGCATGCACATTGACCCGGAGCACATGAAAGTGTTTTGCAGCATCATCACGACAGATGGTGTAGTTGTGTTGTAGACACACTGTCCACTTTCTCTGTAATGGGTTTTGCTTCATGGTGAATAAATCCCATGTTGAGAGTGTGTCAGGAGCATCATGCATTATCCCAACACATAAACTGGCTAGTGGTGATGTCAGGCCAAGAGCTCCTTCTGTGCTTCTCTATTCTGGTGAAGTGGACAGCAGGGGATGCTGACCTTTTACTTTTGTAAAATGCCAGCAAAATAACATGTCAGAAGTGTTGTGAAGAGTGCATCTAATTATTTGTTTCCATTAGGCCTTTTGATTTATCCGTCCATTATTTTCTAGATTATTTTGGTATTATAGCTTTAAATGATTTAGAACAATTATAAATGTCAGTGATACGGATTACAGATAACTAACACAGCAGAGGAAAACATATGTCAGTATGTATGAATGTTCTCTAATTGTATCTATAGCTCATTAGGGTTTTTTTAGTGCCTTGGACTTGATCACATAATCCCTGTTACTGCAGGTCTGTGGATTGCTTTCTTAAAATGACGCTGAAATGTTGGTGGTGATCAGAGCCAGGCCATTTCCCACCTAAAGACTTTGATCTTGAAAGTGACCAGAAAGTGACCAGAAATATCAGCCCAGTAATGCCCAAACCACTTTAGGGGGTTATTTGGAATCCTAAATGATCCTCCAGAGAACAATGACAGGGTTGTTTCTCAGCTGAGGAATGTCCTGCTTGGTCACTGTTCTTGGAAGAATACGTTCACAGGATCATAATTAAAAAGAAAAGAGGGGAAAGGGCGTATCAAAGTCATACCGGTATCACCCTTGGAATCCAGAATGATTCTTATATCAGATGCGTGTCCCAAACTGTCCCATGGTCCTCAATGATGCCCCCTTTCTCTTAAAGAACCTAGTTTGAATTTGCTTGTTTCTTTTGTTTGTTGATTTTATTTGATTTCAGATTATAATATTCACCTTGTCCTCTCAAATATCCTCCATAGGTGTGCGTGTGTGGAGCCCATAAACCCCAGCAATGACACTCTGCAGTTCTGGGAAGAGAAAAACATCACAGTCTCGCAGGTCAACTGGACCATGCTGGAGGTCAAGGTAAGGAACCCTTGACATTTGGAGAAAATCATATCAAAATAACTGCACATATATATAATGCATTCATTACTTAATGGGCCCACGAGACACAGGACCAGGCCCCCCTGTCTTTTAGATACTAAATTTCACTCTGAGACACATGATCTGTCTCTGTCTGCTGTTAACAAAGAGCAGTCAAAGTGTGATCTCGAGTGGAGGGAAGAAAAAAACACCAACACAGACAGAAATATCACATCTGATAACAGTTCCTTTCCCAGCCTTTGATTAACACACTAACATAAAAACCCTAGAAAGTTGGGGGTGTTTTTGCCAGTCTTTGGCACAGTGTCGCATCTCCCACACTTAGCTTCATCAGGAAACGTCAGAAGTCTAGGCGGGGATTAAAAACATGTGGGAAGGATTTCACAGGATTTAGACGTGCAGAATGGGCATGGAGATAAACTGTGAACGTAGATTTGTGCCGGTGGCGTAATGCTGCGTCACTCCTACACACGCTTGTAGATGTGGAGCAAATGGTTTTAAAGGCTGTTGGGATTGAATGCAAATGCAAATGGGTGAATCATGTACTATACGGACATTTAAAGCAGAGTAATAAATAAACTATTACTGGATGTTGTTCACTAATTCACCACTGACACCATCATCGCCATTATCTCCCCTGTCATTTTAATTGGCCTCATTAACGCTGATTATTATCCCCACCATCATCATCATCACCGTCTCCTCTGTGGCCAGTAGGAGTGCGAGATGTTTCACGGGGAGTTTGAAGGTACTGCCTGCGGACCCCATGGCCCCTACGTCCCGGACGTCCTCTTCTGGTGCGTGGTCCTGTTCTTCTCCACCGTCCTCATGGCCGCATTCCTCAAGGAGTTCAAGACGAGCCGTTACTTCCCCACCAAGGTACGCAGCACACTACATTTCTCTGAATAATTCATAAATACACAGACACATTACATCTTTAAGAGGACGGTTTATCCTCAAGTGTATGACCTGCTTTTACATTTGTTACAAATCAAATCAAGTTTTATTTATATAGCATATTTAAAAGCGATTTTTGGTCGAGCCAAAGTGCTGTACATGTAATAAAAACACTTTACTACAATCACAATAAAAGACAATAATATACAACAGAAAAAAAACAAAAACACAGGGAATAGTCAGGTGTCATACTCCGCTCTGACTAGAAGGCCAGAGAGAAAAAGTGTGTCTTGAGTGAGGATTTAAAAACCCCTAGTGTCTGGGCCGACCTCACACGGAGGGGCAGACTATTGTTACACTCCTCCATTAACTTTTCCTTGGTATTACTCTGAAATTGGGTTTCTTGCCTCTGTCTGTGTCATTTTAGATAATGCTGCCATCTATTGGTTGTATTATTCCACAGCAAAAATCCTGCAGTCTGTGTGGCATTTCTATGTGTGCAACATCTATGATTCATCATTGAGATGACACTCATGAGCCAATGTGTGGCGTGATCTCTGCAAACCAATCCACAGTATGCAGGCGCCACCTTGTGGTGATGAATATATACTGTCGTCTGCAACACCACTGCTTAATGCTTTTATGGCTCCCAGTGCATTTCATTGAACAGAGCAATGTTCAATACTTTATAAACAATATTCTTAGTCAGGCATTGAAGCAGACCAAGAAGTACAGTATATAGACACAACACTTGTTTGAACATTAAAGCATGTAAACACGTCACATAAGAGGCACAATATACAAATATCAACCTGAAAATGAGCATGATAGGGCCTCTTTAAATGACCAAAACAAGTTGAAACTAGCATTGGGCTAAACTTTGTATTCATTCTGACAATAGAGAAATAAAAATGAACAAAACAAATCATTGGGTTTATCAGAACAGAAGTGCCTTTGTCTGGCTATTGGCTTCTTGTTTTGCTCCTGAGTATTCTCTACAATATGTGTGTGTAGCACGGGCTTTGTGTGAAGACTGTGCCTCTGTGTTCCCTGCAGGTGCGCGCCATCATCAGTGACTTTGCTGTGTTCATCACCATCCTGACTATGGTTCTTGTAGATTACGCCCTGGGTATCCCCTCACCTAAATTACAGGTCCCCAGCAAGTTCAAAGTAAGTCCACATGAAAGCTTGTGTATGCATTGATATCTCCTACTTTACATCTGGAATATAAAAGGCACAAAAACAATGTAACTTGTTTTGTAGGAAATCCAAAATGTATCTCAGGAGGCTTGTAAAACAACAAATAGTCTCTACATTTAATCACATACCTTTCCCTCTCTCCAGCCCACCAGGGATGATCGTGGCTGGCTGATAAACCCTGTGGGGCCCAACCCCTGGTGGACCACCATCATCACCTTCCTCCCTGCTCTCCTCTGCACCATCCTCATTTTCATGGACCAGCAGATCACAGCCGTCATCATCAACAGGAAGGAGCACAAACTAAAGGTATTTCAAAACTATAACAGACTTTAGAGAGCTTCATTGTTTATTATGAACTCTGCTAAATCTGAACCCAACTGTCCTTGTCCCGTCCGTGCAGAAAGGCTGTGGCTACCACCTGGACCTGTTTGTGGTGGGGGTGATGCTGGGGGTGTGCTCGGTGATGGGCCTGCCGTGGTTCGTGGCAGCCACCGTGCTCTCCATCTCCCACGTGAACAGCCTGAAGCTGGAGTCGGAGTGCTCGGCCCCCGGAGAGCAGCCCAAGTTCCTGGGCATCCGAGAGCAGCGCTTCACCGGCCTCATGATCTTCACCCTGATGGGCTGCTCCGTCTTCATGACCTCTGTGCTAAAGGTCAGGGGATAAACACACAAATATACTACATAGTGACAAATACAGTACCAACACAAAACAGCACCAATATTGTCTATCTATTTTCTATCAAGATGAAAATGTCATAAACACCATCTTAACAAGTGTATAAGAGAAATAATTATCTTCAAATAGTTTTAGCCCTGATCCTGAATACCCTTCTGTCTCTAGTTCATCCCCATGCCTGTGCTGTACGGAGTCTTCCTCTACATGGGGGCTTCCTCCCTCAGAGGCATTCAGGTGAGCTGGGAATACTGCATGCTGGTATTTTGTCAGAAGAAGTCATTGGGAAAAGAAGCAGGGTGATTTCTTGTTTGTATCTGTGCAGTTCTTTGACCGTCTGAGGCTGTTCGGCATGCCGGCCAAACATCAGCCGGATTTCATCTACCTTCGGCACGTCCCTCTGAGGAAGGTGCACCTCTTCACCATCGTCCAGCTCACCTGCTTGGTCCTGCTCTGGGTCATCAAGACCTCCAAGGCGGCCATCGTCTTCCCCATGATGGTAACAGCAGTGTGTTTGTGTATGCATGCAAGTTCCAATAAATGAATATCAAAACACTCAATAACAAGCAACAGTAAAGTATAATTACTGCAAAATTGTACTTAATCAGAATCAGAATCAGAATACCTTTATTAGTCCCACAGAAGGGAAATGTACATAGTTACAGCAGGAAAAAGAGCCACAGACAGCTTAATGTTACATATGTTAAATATGTGACATGCATTTAAAAAAAAGTACTAAGTTATGATATAATACAAAAAGATATATAATAAAAAATAAAAAGTTACATCATTTAAAAAAATACACATCCTGTAACAGTTCTTAGGATTTAGCAGCCAGGTATATATTACACAGTTATTAACGGCATCTATATATATTGCACATCTAGCACATATTGCACATAGGTGGTCATTGTTACTTTCCACTGTATGCATGTATAGTATACTTCTGTCTGATTGACACGTGTGTTTCTGTGGATCAGGTCTTGGCTCTGGTGTTTATCCGGAAGCTGCTGGATCTCATGTTCACCAAGAGAGAGCTGAGCTGGCTGGATGATCTGATGCCCGAGTGGAAGAAGAAGAAACTAGAGGACGCAGACGAAGAGGTGCAGTGATAGACTACAACAGGGCCAGAGTGCCTTTATTCCAGAGAGGGTGTTACATTGAGAGATAGAGGGGAAGACAATGCCTGAAAACTTTGGCGGGCTCGGGTTTCGAACCCACCTCCTAGCTACTGTAGTGACAACTCCTGTCATTTATTGCATCTCTGCGTGAATGATTAGATAATTTCACCTAAATTAAATCAAATGAAATGATGTTGATGGTTAAATCAGCTTCACATGTAGGCCTACTGAGTTCTGAGCCATTTAGATCTATAAAGGCCTTGGGGCTATGTTGTTTGATTTAATTAAACACAATATTTGCACTCCACTATGCTGTTGTAGTATATACTGTATCCAAAGCTCTTAATATGATTGCTCATATTTCAAGCCATCTTTTTCCCGGCCCCTTGCTTTGGATCATTTCCATCAACCGGCCCCTATTCCAAACTAATTGAATATCCCTGGACTACAGCAGATGATCCAATGCCAATTCTGATGACTTAACCCTTCCACCACTGCAGTGGAAGGAGCTTCTATTCATGCAGGGTTCCCCTTTTCTTCTTGTGTTTCTTTCGTCAGGAGGAGCACAGTATTATTGCAGAGGAAGAAGGCATTGTACAAGTGCCAATGGAGGGACACCTCAAGTAAGTCATTTCATTGCTTTTAACCCACTAATCACATGTCGTGAACATGTTTTAAGACTTGGAGTAGTTTCTTATTTTGTTAAATAAGCATATAAGAGTCATTTCAATATTCTTTTCTATTTCTCTGCAAGAAAGAAAGTACACATATTGTTTTAAAAACCTTAAAACTGGTGAACAGCTTCTGTTCTGCAGCTGTCACTTCAGAAACAAAGGTACTTATTATTTTTCCTTTTGCGTGTGCTTTTTAAGGTGTGACCCTGCCACAGTGAACATCACTGATGAGATGTCTAAAGGATCTTTCGGAAATGTGTGGAAGAATGTCGACCCTAGTGAGACCACGAAGAAGGAGCCAAGCGCTAAAAGGTTAGCCTCCTTATCCATATAACGCTCACATCAACAGATATACACAAGTTTTTCAGATACATCACATAGACTTCCAGAGTATTTTGTTTATTCCAATGGGAACATGATGTCTTTGGGTGTCAAAGCATGAAGTGGCAGGTGTTTATTATTGAAGTGTTATGGAGCATTTACTCTTTGTTTTTCCAGGAAAGTGAGCAGCTAGTATGTTTATGTAAAAAAGGTTTATCTCAGAGCAGCCCTGCCCTCACAGAGTTCCCACAGAGTAGACTAACATAGTGTCTCCTGCCTGCCTCTCTCATTCCAACCCCAAGCTCCCCTTCCTAACCTCTCGGAAGCTGATATCCCAAAGGTAAGCTGTTCCCTCTTCCCGTCGGCATGCAGAGTCCTGTGTGTTTACTGTTGCATGTTGATTGCTCTGTGCTGTAAGTGATTAACAGAGATAAGTCATTAATACATAGATGTTGATTGATTGATAATCACAGCATGAACTGGATGTGCATGTTACTTCAAGGACATTTAGTATGATTGTACATTTGGTTTATCATTCAAGTATTAAAGGAATACTTCAACCACATAATAGACATTTGTTCATCAATTATTTCCCCTAGTGGTAAAGACACATTTTTGCATGCCTCTATGATAAACTAAATAAATGATTGATGAATTGAAGTAAACAGGGGCTACACTTAGCACTATTAGTCTTTTTTCTTAAATTAGATTTGAGTGAAACTACATGTGTTTGGGAAGTAGTGAGAGTACATCTGCATAAATAGGACATACATTATACTGCACAGGTTTTGTGACAGTTTCTTAATGGATGTATATAAATGTGGCCCCCATTTACTTCAATCTACCCAGGGTTTCCATTTAAAGGGATGCTAGAAAAATAAGTATTCTTAACGCTGGGTGATAAATGTATATGAAAATTAGTGAGTTATTTTCTTTGACCTTATTGAGCTTTTTGCATGCTGTGTGATCATGATTGATTGATTAATTGCATCTGTAGTCTGCACTTCAGTCTAAAATGTCAGAAAATCCAGTCTCGTACAATAAAATAACACCAACACATATGAATTTTCCCCATTTAACATTTCTGCTTTTTTCCCGTGCAGTTCTAGCGGCGAAAAGCGACACAAACGCCGGAGGCATGATAAGAGCTTGGACAGGGAGACAAGTTTGTGATGACACCTACTTTCTGGCAGTGCCACTGTGCTGTCAATCAGTAGATCAAAAAACAAAAAAAGCTGTACCGTGCCACACTCAACCACCTTTGTACTGTGCTACACTGTGTTTTTGTCATGTAAGTCTGTGTGCAAGTTGTGTAAAACCAAGAATTTGTTAGAAACAGTATTAGCACGGGAAGGAATCAGGACACAGTTGTGTTCTTTTTCAATGTATATCGATGTTTGGTGATACCAGCGACAGACGGAAGCCAGAATTATACGACACTTACAAAAGCTGCTGTGTCAATGGGCCAATTAAATAACAATTTTAAACAATTTTTAAATCTACTTTATTTGTATTTTGTATGTTTTTATATTTTTCCAACAGTAGTTGTAAGTTGTCCTCAACCTGCCACAGCCGACTGCAGATGTGTGGATTGTGTGTGCAGTATTTAATGCCACTATTGACTTGATGCACCTCGAAAAGTAGACATTTGCCATTACTAATCTATTTCACTGGTATCTAGGAGTTGGTTATATAGCAAAACTAGTAATTTTTTTGAAAGTATTAAATATACATTTTCTATATTCTGTATATCTTAATGTTTTTGTGACAGTAACAGCTCATATCACAGTTTTCTCCCTTTCTATTTTACAAATAAATGTCTCTCGTCCAGTAAAGCATTCCCCCGCACGAGTTAAAGGAACAGTTTTTCTGGTTATAACTCTCATTCGTTTTCTGTTAGATGACAAGATCGATACCCCTCTCATGCCTGTACACTAAATATAAAGCTAGAGCTAGCAGCCTGCTAGCTCAAGACTTAAAACACGTAAACAGCTAGGCTGGCTCTGACCAAATGTAACACAAATAGCCAAAATGTCTCTGATTAATAACTTTAAATGTTGTTTGTATTATCTGTGCAAAAACCAAAATGTAAAAAGGTATTTTTTTTGTTGCTGCTATTTTTTGGCAGGTAGCATGCGACAGCTTAATTTTTAGCAAACAGACACGAGAGTGGTATTGGTCTATCTCTATACAAGAAAAGTGAATAAGCATATTGACCGAGCAAAGCTTTTCCTTTAATGACAGTATTAGTTTACTGGCAAACATTTCCATGCTAGCATCTAAGCATAGTGCTGGAACGTTCAGTACCTGCAGCTACTCGCCTTGGCTTTTCAATCCCTTTTTCATCCATTTTGCAAATACTGAACTAGAGTGACACTATTTTAAGCTCTATGTTCTCCACCTTTGTCATCTTGTCAGTAAGTGTCATCCATGGACATGTGATCTCCTATCCAAATTACCCTCAATATTTTAGCATCTGAAGCTAATTGTTTTAAAAAAAAAACACCTGCATGCTGTTGAATCAGACATGAATGTCTTGCTGCAGACCGTGGTTACTTCTAGAGATGCAATAATACCTTTTTTCTGGGAAGGGCAACATGTAATAAATGGTAAAGAGTCGTAACAATGTATAAAACATAGTATATTTTAATCATGTAAAATGTTACTAATATATTACTAACATGAAGTCAGTGTTGAAGGCAGGTTTTGTTGTAGATGTTCTTTTCCCATTGTCTAATTGATGGTTCTTCGTTGTTTAGAGAAACTAATAAGGGGTCAGAATTATATCAATATCAAATATTTTGACCACTTCTCTGTGGAATTCTGCCTTAAATTTGGTAGTGATAGATGTACACTTTCTGTTTAAATAATTTAAGACACCTGTAAAGAAACCTATCAGTTCAGATTTGTTGTTAAATTGTGCTTTGTTTATTGAGAATGGGAGCGAGAGTGATTGAGAGCATAAATAAAGATCTAAAACTCTGTTTGAATGATGTGGTTCTTTATTGATCCCTATATATTTGCTATTGTCAACAGGTAGGTCAAAGATCAATGTACTTCTTTGTATAAGTAATTGTTCAGTTATTCTATACAAGGACTTTGACCGCAGGAGCTTCATGTCTTTTACAGCGCTACAGGACAGAGTGTCTCTGAGCCAAGATGCTGCCGTTGATGCCCAGAAAGAGCTTTTCCAGTTTAAAATGAGGGTAGAAATTGTGGAAATAATCCGTGAGACTGTTGGATTTCCTGCATGTCTGAATTCTGTAATAGATTTCCCTGATGATCCTTTGAGATGTAACAAACACTGGATTGCATGAAGTGACTGCGAAGAGAAGATAAGGCGTGAGTACATTTACTCTTTTTACTTTGAACTCATAAGCCTGTGGGGAGATCATGCTATGTTGTCTGTGTCCAAAGCTAATTACACATACTAAACCCATCAGCTAATCATTTACAATAACTTCCACAGACACACAATGAAAAACTTTATTTTGCAGAGCGGATACAATCATATGCAATGAAAACCATCTACACTACATGTGCTTCCTATCTACCTGAGATTTCACTTTTTGTGTTCTTGTTTTCACCTTAAAAATATAGAAAATAATTTAAATTTGTACAAAAAATATGCACCTCAATTTCATTTCTTCTCTCTGAAGCACCATTTGGCTGTGGAAGATTTTTTTGTCTCTGCATCACATACAGTAAGTAAAAAAAGACGTACACATTGAAATGGCATAACAACATGCAAAGCAGTATGGCTTTTTATTCCTTCGGTATATGGCTTAGAATGCAGCATCAAAGGGAGTCCTTGAAGAGAGTCTCATTGGTCCTCTTGTCTTTTCTTACTGCAAAAGAAAGAAAATCACAATCATGCCGAGCCTAGTATTCTGTAAATGATCAGAGCCATGTGACTGAGTTTTACCTCTCCCCTGAAGGTTTGGAGGTCATGACCCAGAGTAAATATTCCTTTGCAGCCAAGGAGTCCAGCACCTTGTTCACGTCACTGGTGAAGCTTCCATCTACATGCCTCCTGCTGAGCGCCTCCCCCCGCCTGTCCATTTCAGATCTGAGTATGTACACATGCACACAATGTAAACACTGCCCATTAAGGGTCAGTAGCCCACAATGTGGCCAAGCTGCCATTTTAACTCTGATATTAGGCCTGCAGTGCAGTATTCATCAGAAAATCGTCATTTTTATTGTGGTTATCTTCTGATTGGTGATTACCGGGTGTTTCTTTGATCATTCCATGATTTGTTCATAGGCCGCTTGCACGTTTTTGTCAAAAATAATCATTCCACTCAATCGTCACACAATAGTAAGATATCAATCAACGCAGTGCAAAAAGTTCAGGTGATTTATTTCAACACAACCACAAGGGACATCAAGAAAAAGCAAAGAAAGGAAAAAAGATGGAGAAGCAGGTGATTATATCTCTCTGACTGTCTCTCTCGTCATGGTGGAATCAGACACAGGCAGGCCGATAGGGGTTTGGGTACTGAAGAAGGAGGAGAGGGAGGGAGGAGAGAGGGAGGGGGCGGGCAGCCTACGCTCTTCTGACTTGTCCAGCCTTGAGCCTGGCAACAAAGTCTTTGATTAGCTGGTCCTTGAGGTACGAGCTCACGTCGCTGGTGAAGGTCCCATCAGCGTGGCGCTTTTCTTCAGCACTGAAAACACAGTGAGGGAAAATGTTCAGATTGTTTTAGAGTTTAATGTATCATAAGTCCGAAATATACACTATATTCAGTAACACATCTCTGTTAACCAGTGGTAGAAATTAAACCAAGGAAAAGTACGCTTAATATTTTATGCTACTTTTATGTATACTCTTCTATCCTTCAGAGCGATATATTCTACTTTTTACCCCACTACATTTATCTGCTTTTACATTTTTTTCTATGGGCTTTTCTTTTGACTTCTATACCATATGTTAAAAAAGCAAAGAGAAAGAACAACCCAAAAACAACCTTCACATATATCTTTTAACCCTTTAAAGGGGCACAAACCCTAGATTGAGTATATATAGCTGATAATACTTCTGTGGGTTTTTGAATGCAGGATTTTTATGTTGTTGTAAAAACTCCACCACTGCCCCTTTAAAAGTGATTGTAGCATCTTGCACATTGAATATAACCATTGATTATATGTTAAATACTATAGGGCTAGAAAAGTCAAAGCACTTCACAATTGATATTCTTAAGATCCCATACTGACCCGCTCCTCTTGTTGTTCATCAGCCACTGGACAAAGTCCTGAGCCTTCCGGTCCTCCAGGTATTTGCTGTAGTCGTTTGAGAAGGTTCCCTCCGAATGTCTCTTCATGTTGGACAGCTCATCCACTGATGTGTTGTCTGCCTCAAAGCTACAAGAGGAAACCACTGTGAGTTTACACAGATGAACCCTTCACATTACCAAAATCCATTGGTTAGGTTGAATTTTCCGAAACACTTCAAATAATGCAAACAAATCAGATGTAGTATATTTATTATTAATCTTCAAACATATGCCCAGATGTAAAGCAGTGTACATTTAACACTTTAAATTAAATCTCTCATTTTCGCTATTATTTGTTATATCTTAATAGACTTCTAACATTTTCTGTATTTATAAATAGGGTAATCCACATTTTCAGCATTATAATTCCCGAACAGAAAGGGAATGTAGAGCAAATCATCCCCTGTTTCACTTCTCCAAATGACTTTAAGCCTTTTACCCAATTTGATGGGATATTTTTGAAACATTTCTCAGTTTTAGTATTGTCTCATGTCACCTAAATAGTGCTGACTATAATTTAACTTAAAATGACCCACATATACCACAATTTAAAACATATTTTTCGTGAAGGATAAAGTTCTCTTTCTGCATTCCTAAATGTACAAAACCAATGGTCCATAGATAAAAGACAAGTATTTTCTGTACCTTGAGCTGTCACCCGCCTCCTGCAGAGGAACCTGCCAGCTGCTCTGAACAAACCCCACAACCAGAAGGATACCAGCTAGGAAGCTTCTCATGGTTCTAACCTACAGCGCAGCACACGCACACATACAAGAACAAAGTTTGCATATTGGATCAAAAAGCTAAAGCTAATGTGGTTTCCTAATTGCAATCAACACAACTCACCTTTTCTTCTTCTTTCCTTCACAAGAACGGTGCCGTTAGTTCCTCTGCTTGTCTGACTCTAACCCTACTCTCTTACATTCTGTTCTTATATACTGTAATAGAAGGAGGATGATTTGTCTGCTCAGGTGGGATAGTTTAACCACTCTGGCAGGTCAACCTGTTACTCTCAACCCATTAGACACATCGGCCGAATCAACAAGCCGAGCATTTGTCCCGAAAGGAAAGGTGCTATCCATGCGTGATGCCAGCTGGTACTTAGGTGTTAAGATCAAACAACAGCAGCTCATCCTGTTAAACAGAACGTAGGGAATATGCTTTAATGTGCTACTGTGTCATCATGATGGGAAGTGATATGTGTGCTGTCATATCTGGAAGATGAGTCACTATTAGTGGTTTCTGTCTGATCAGATTTAAAAGATGGGCGATATTGACCGTTTATACGCATCAGTGGCAGTTATCCATTTTTACAAGGGCCATTGTTCAATAGAGATTGATGGTTTATGACAATAAATGGTCATCTATTGCTATATGGCTCTTAGATAGTGTCACGTTTGTTAAAGGGGCCCTATTATGCTTTTTGGTGTTCTCCCTTCCTGTAGTGTGTTGTATAGGTTTTTGTAAATGGTCTGCAAAGGTTAAAATCCCTGTGTTCCCTCCAGAGGGAGTTTCTCTCCTACACACTCCCCCCCCCCCTTCTTTAAACGCCCCCATTGTACTCCTTTACTTGCATCCGCGACATAGTGACATCACTACGTAACACTCGTGCTTCTATTGACTAGCGCTCCAACATACTGTATGTGATAGACTAAGGGGTGGGACTTATCACAACAGAGCCAGCCAGCTAACCAATCAGAGTTGAGTCAAGTAGGATTTCATCCATGATGACGCAAATCAATATCGGACAACACAATTTAGCTGTAGGTAAATAAATATACATTTGTTCATATCACTTACATCGCTAACATACTTATAATGATGTAAGGTATAATGCTAATTGCTGCTAATTTGCTGCTTAAGCAATGATATAATGGGCATATAGCTCAAAGCATAACTAAGCCTACTGAACCACTTGCATAGCTGTTGACTGTACTAATATAAAAAAGATGATCATTGTTATGCAGTTATCCCGTAACAGAATAAAGAACATGATATCTCAAACAAAACATTTTTTTATTCAAAATTAATTTACATCAAACAGACAACCATCGCATTAATAAAGAAACTCTCACTCAAGTAAAACAAGTACACTTCAGGACCAATTTACATTTAATTTACAAAACAAACTTTGAAAAATAAATCACATTTTTCATTTAGTTACAAGTAATAATGTTTTTTTCTAACTGATTTCAGCACAACACCGACACAGAATGACAATATGACTTTAACCCATTTTGTACTTTCCTGGCATTAATAACGAAATGTGCCTTTCAAATTAAATGAAGTATCCCTTTTTATTCACATTAGGCGGGCTTCAAGCAAAGCACCTCTTTAGGAAGTGGCTCATGTGGGTGTAGACGTGTTTATTGGCTGCGCCGCTAAGCCCATGATCCTTGTCTGTGTACCACTGAAAGACAAGGGAAAAAATGTTATTATTTTAGGTGACAGTCTCCTGTTCCTTCAATATTAATTTTCCAAATGACTCACCATCGCCTCAAAGTCAACCTGCGCCTCCACCAGAGCTTCAGAGATCTCAGCTGCCTGCTGGAAATGAACGTTATCTAGAAAACACAACAGAAAATGTATTAACACAATGCAAATTGCCCATTTGGATCCAGAAAGGTCAGGGGGTCACCACGGATTTTTTCTTCCTTAACTTCATGGCTGAAAGAGTTGGATCTGATGGAGGTGTGAGACCAAAGGTCAATATGTCAAAAATAAATGCTTGTGGCCATTCATAACTCACCATCAGCTGTTCCATGAACCAGTAGATACTGCACTGCACGGAAATTCTTGGCCCTTTCAGTTACTGTCGAGTTCTGCACACAATCATATTTGTATTTTATGGTGACAGACAATAGCATAATTATTAATGATAAAATATAAGACTGTCAAACGTACAGTGTAGGCCAAAGAGTTCTGTGAAGGCTCCATCATGTAACGCTCGGTGTAGATGGAATCTGGAAGAAACATATATTTAATAGTGTGTCAGGATTGGGATGGTTGTTAACATGAAGAAATTACTTTAAAAGACCAAAAATACCATAATATTCCCATTTGGACACTGGAGCGACCGCCATTCCACATTTGAAAACTCCACTTCCAGATCCCAATACCATTGACGTCACATATCCACCATAAGACTGAGAGACACAAACAGCTCATTACTGTAGCCTTAAGTAAAGAAGACGTACTGACAGTAGGGTGAAACATTAACTCCATTTCTGACACATTTATTGCCCTATGAAGCATGAAAACACATTTATGCTTAAGTAACAAAACTTGTTTGATTTTGAAATACTTTTTATTTGAATGCACTTTTAAGTGTTTTCTTAAAACTTACCCAGCCCCAAATAGCAACTCTGTCTTTGTCAATGTAGCCCTTTTCGATAAATTTCCTATAATAAAACCAAAAGAATGTTGTAAATGTAGGAACTTTTTATCAGCATCTTCACTTGGTGCCGATCAAGATATTTCCTGTGTGTGTGTGTCACTTCTCCAGAACACAAACAAGTCAGTTCCAGTTTTGTCAAGCTTTCCTGGGAAACGGGTGAAGCTGTTTGTTTGAGCGGGAAATGCATTGACTCGTCCAAACTGGCTTTCCTCACCTGGCTGCTGTTATCTGATCTTCCACCTCATAGGTTCCCAGACCTTTGTAGATTGCGTGCATTATCTCGTCGCCTTGGTAACCGCTTCCTCTTCCGTCAAAGCTTGCAACGATGATTTTCTCTGTGCTCGCCAAGTAGGTGTCCCAGCCCACCCCGTAGGAAAAGTCTACTTCCTGACTGCAGGGACCACCATACCTGAGTGGGAAAAATTAGTTTGTAATCTCTTCTACAATTGAATATTATTATAGTTTGTTAATATTTATAAATTATCTTACACATATATCAGTAAAGGGTACTTCTTGGATTTGTCAAAGCCTGGAGGCAACAACATCTCGTACCAGAGTTCTGTAAAGAATATGTAAATCCATAGTAAATAGTCATCTGTGTATTTTATAGCAAACACTGGATATCGTCGTTGTAGGATTCTCTTACTGTGTCCTGCAACGTTGAGGAAGCCTCGACTCATGGTGGGCATTTGGATGTCAGATATCAGGCTGCTAAATTCTTTATTGTCCTCCAAAACTTTTAACTCTACACATGCAAAAACATAGAAAGTTAATTAAATAACATTTATCCTCGTTGATATTATTTCAGATTGCATTCAAATGTTGTGGATTACCTTTATTATTCCTGTTATCCATGAGAGCATGGAAAGGAATGCCAGGACCTTTGAGTAAAATGACAGTTATATTATTAGCGAAACATATAGCTAATAAGTTACAATATAATAATTAAATTACATATATGCAGAGAAACAAAGTATAACTGACCACTGCAGCGCATACGGTAGAAGGAGGCATTATGGCTGAAGTAGGCGGAATTATACTGACAGTTATCTCCACCTATCGCACATGTTAGACAAGTGTGCGTTTCTTTGGTCCACCTGACACAAACACAGTGTGAAGAACTGCTTTATAATAAAGATTGTATCATTAAAAACAAGGAAAATAGTAAAACATTTCAATTAAATCCCCTTACTTGTAAACATTCCTTCCTCCTGGCTGCCCGGCCTCTTGGTTACTTGAGTAATATCTGTGGAATAATTGGAATGCATGAGTGGGGAGGAAATCCTAAACTGTGGCAAAGGAGAAATCCAGCTAATTGGACATGACAATTATCTCTTAAACTCACTCATGACTTCCCAACATTCCCACACAGTTTGGGAAAGTGCATAAAACAATGCATTACAGACATTTGCAATATTTCCATTGGCTGGAATGGTGCAGTTTTATAGGATACTGTACAATCAGAATGGATTATGCTTCTACACAAGAGAGAACGTGTATGCAGCTGTGTGCAGATGATGCAACGACTTACACACTGTCTTCAGTTACTTTCAGGATGTCAACAGCTTCCCATTCTCCAGAGGTTATAGGTGTAGCTGTGCCCTGCACCATGAGTCACAACACAATGTGTTACTTCATATTTAGACAATTTGTGCAAGTCACAAAAAAAAAGAGCTGATTTTGCTGGACTGAAACTGGCCAACTGACTTCAAAATGTAATTTTACTTACTCCGACCACATGATGGATGTGCTTGTACTTTTTGGTGTCGCTCATCAACAGGTAGTAGCTTTTTTTGTCTGCAGCAAAAACTGGTTCTGGTGGAGAGAACTAAGAAAAAACATTATTTTACTATATATATATTCTCTGACCTCTATAACTGTCAGCTCCAAGTCCATATCATCCAACTATAGCTGCACTGTAGTTGTATCTTACCCTAGTCAAATAAAAGGCAATGGTGCATTGGATGGGTATCATTTTCAACTGTGTATTAGTCCACATTAGGTGATCTCAGCAGGATGGTTGAGTGTGATTGAGCAAGAAGTAACTACAGTGTGTGTGCAATCATGCAAGAACATGTCACCCAGTGCATATGGAGTTCTATTAAACAGAGGAATAACATATAATGCTTGACAGTCACACTACTTATTATAACATACGGTCGGGGTTGGGGAAAATAGGAACCACATGCAGAACACAGACAGGGAAGCAGGAATCCAGGTAATAACCAAAAACGAGCTTTATTCCAAAAAGCTGATTAGAAACAAAGAAAAAGTACCAAACACTAACCGGGTGAAACAAGAACAAACTCACGGACAGGAACATGCAGGTTAAATGGCAACATAAACCCAAAACCATGACACATACATTTACTGTTGTTTTTGGTCTTTAAGCAGAATATGCTTTAAGGTGTGCTGGACTTACCCGTCCGATCCAACCTTTTTCACTTTTCACCTCCAGTTTCTGTCAAAAGAAATGCAATTTTATAGCTGCAATTAGATTGCAATACACCTTATCAGTTTAGGCAAAAACTGTTATTGCAACACAGAGGTGAATTTAGAAGTGCTTTATCTAACGAAGGACATTGACCTTTCATTTCTCAACAACCAATGACTTTCGTTGGGTACAACTATGATCAGTAACAATGTCGTGAACATCAAGTGTTTGTGACATAGGCTAAGAAAGAGAAA